GCAGTCAGCACAGAGCCCGACGCGGGGCTCGAACCCACCGAACCGTGAGATCATGACCTGAGCCTAAGTCGGGCACTTAACTGACTGAGCCACCCAGGGGCCCCAAGGAATTTTAAAAGCACACTCCCTGGGTACATTTATATCACATAAAAGAACATGTTATGAGTTAAAAATGTCAGTTTCATCAAGAAAAATATACATGCAATACTATAATTTGTTTATTTCCTTTCCCTGTGTTTTCCACCTTTTTTATGAATAGCTTCCTCTGTATCTGCTTTACAACGTATACTCCATTATCCTACAATAATTGGGCAATAACACCTACTACTGAAATCCCTACCAGTTTAGTTTATCTTGAGCCCTATGGTGACACACAGTTATCTCAAAAGCTTGTGACTATAATCATGTGAAAGTCCTATTGAAATGAAAAATTATGTCTGATCTCAAATAAAAGATCTTGTATAAAACAACGTGTGAATATATCTCATATCAAATGTCAAACTTGTACCTGAGAATGGTTTTCTCCAAGGACATATAAAAGTCAATAAAATCCTCTTACTTTTCACATTAGAAAATAGTCTGCCTGGAGGATTCCTCCTGCTGGAGATCTGGTGCAACTTTTCCAAACCCAGACTTGATTTATCTACTTATTAAACGTGGTTCGAGTTCTAATAGTTCTGCTATCTTTAGAAAAATCCAGAAAGATATCCCACGGCATTTCCAAAGTGTAGTTGGTAGTTCTCTGAGTGATGGATGAGATCAGTATTGGAAATTCATCACTCAACTCACCTCTCCGATCTGACAGCTGGACTATCACAGCCATCCAATCACGCCGATTTTCTTGAAAGCTGTCCCAGGAAAAGCATTCTAATAATGTTGTCAGCAGTGGAGGATACTCATGTTTCCTGAATCCTCTGCTTTGAAGCCCTTTGAATAAATAAGTTCTGATACATGTTAAAATGCAAACTGAATTTTAACTCTTCTGTCTGTAAAGAGCAGCAAGTATGATCTCTCACTGAAGACCAGCAGCTTTAAAACTGTCTTGAACCCTCAGGACATTTTAAGCGACTCCAAGGAGACATCTGAGATGTCAAGTGTGTCTTCTTAGAAGTCAAGGTCTTCACGACTGCCCCTGTTGAATGTTAATTGAGAAGCACCTTTTTCTTATGAAAAATACAGAGGCTTTTGTACCAAGGAAGCACAAATAGGTTTTCTAGTTTATTGCTCGTTGATCGTGTGCTTATAAAAGAGATGAGGAGGCTTGACCCAAGGAGTAGCATCTTTACCATCTGAGCTGGAGGCAAAAAGAGAACCTCATTCTGCCCTAACTTATGGGCTTGGTATGTGACAACCCTGGGTCTTTATGTCATCAGAGAAAGCTTCTGGGAAAAGGTAGATTTGGAACTGATTGTGGAAAGAGAAAAAGAGGATAACAAGGCATGAATGTGGCCCATATGAAGTAGGTAGAATCCTAGAAAAGGGGATCATCTGTCTAAAAGAAGAGAGAAGAAGGGGCGCCTGGGTGGCTCCGTCTGTTGAGCATCAGACTCTTGGTTTCGGCTCAGGTCGTGATCCCAGGGTCATGAAATTGAGCCCTGCATTAGGCTCTGTGCTTAAGATTCTCTCTCTCTCTCCCTCTACCCCTTTTCCCCACTTGTGCTCTCTCTCTCTAAAAAATAAATAAAAGTAATAATAAAAAAGGAAGTAAGAAAAGAAGAAGGAATAATGTAGAGAGAGTGAGAGAACTATAGCCTCATCAGACCACAGTTTGAAATAAGGCATGCTAACTAGAAGGCCTTTTAAGCTTATAGGGAGAGCATGAAATTTAATGGGGAGGGGAACAAATCTTTGATGGTCTTTAGGTCAGGAAAACATCAAGATAAAGGATGTATTAACTCTCCTAGACAGGTGTTTTATTAGCATCATAGTCTCACTCAGCTAACCAGCCTCATTACACCAGGGAGGTATTTTATAACAAAGTTTTTCGCCGATACCTTTCTTCTGGGTAAATAAAGTCAGAGGAGGATTATCTAAAATGCTTAAGAGAATAAGCAGCTTTCAAATTATACAACCTGGTACATATAACTAAATTAAGTTTAAATCTTCATATAATACTTGTTGAGTTGAGCAATTGAGTACAATATGCTAATCATAAATAGTTTTAAGAGGTTCCTCATGGATCTTGACTTGGAAGGCTGTGGGTTTTTAGCTTTGTGTGAATTGCTGCATTAACTTCAAAGAAATGAAATTGTACTTTCATTAAAATATCTTTAACTTCAAAAAATCATATTTTTCTGGATGAATCTCTCCTGTGTTGGCCAGTCATGGTGTATGCTGTGCCTTGCTGCCTGGAGGAGAATTTCCTGCCCACAGCTTCTCGCTGAGGGGGCAGACACATGTGGCCAAGTCTGAACCACATGACAAAGGCAGGCACAGCTGATGGACCGAGGATGGGTACCAGACCCACGGGCTGTCAGTCCAGAAGCTGATTGTAAATTAAGAGGAGGGCCATTTCTAAAGAGCTCCCAGTCGGAAGCAATGATGATTAGCTGGACGGTTCCGACTCCCTTTCAGGAATCTGAATATGATACGTGGGGAGAGAACCAGTCAGCCCACAGTGGGTGGATACATAAAAACACCTCAAAAGGAGACAGTGGGGAAATTGTCAAAATGGCTGAGGAGGATTTTCAGGGCCGGGGTGGGGACATCAAGCTCCCACCAATGCCTCACAATATTCCATCTCCACAAAGCTGGCCGAGTGACTGTATCTGTTTTCGGAGAGTTTTGTCTCCCTGCTTCCATATGTAACCTTACAATACGTCTCCATTCCTGAAACAGCCTGAATGAGACACTTGCCCCCCCAAGCCCCAACCCCCCAAATCTAACTAACAGATAGTCCAAAATTCGGTACAAAGAGGTTCAATTTTACTTCTAATAATTTTAAGAAAAACATCTTGGGAAACAATATTAGCCACCATCTATGGTTTTAATGGGCTTATTATTAAAATGGGTTTCTAACTCAACAGAAACATCTGCCAAACCAAACCAAACCAAACAACAAAACAAGACAGAATTATGTCGAAGACGTCACTGTCATCACTTTGGGGATAATGAGGATAGGGTAGGTGATGATGGTTTTCTTCCAGAGCAGATGTAAGGTTGTGGCTTGTTTTCCCCTTTGAGTTGGGCTCTTTATGTGGTTTGTTAAGTAGCACGCCACCTAATCAATAGGTCAGAGTCTTCATGTTTAAACATTTTCCCTCAATTTTTTATTACCAATAAAGGCAGAAGGTCACACTCTCTGGTCGTTCACCTACATCCTGGTTTGTTCTGAGAACATTGCTCAGGGCACAGATTTCAAGAAGGACCAGCTATATGCGTGCGGCAGAAAAAATACATGAAATGTTGGAACATTGCATAGAGAATGAGCGAGCACTTGAACAGGAGCCGGGGAATCTGGATTCTAGTCAGTTCTGCCACTGGCAAGCCATATAATTCTGGCCAAGTCCCTTTCCTTGTCTGTGAAAGGAGGGAGCTGTGATCCTCAAATTCTCTGTGTTGTGTCATCTCCCTTACTAGAACCATAAGCTCCACCAAAGCAGAGCCTTATCTGCTTAGGGCTCAATTCAAGAACAGGTGCTCAGGAAACACTTGGTGATACTGAGTAATTCACGTTGTACATTGCTCATTAAAAAGGCTCTTTTTCATGTATGGAGTCCTAGCTGTTTTTCAGATTGCTTTCACACGGGAGGCCCTCAACCACTCACTGGTCTGGGATATCACACTGGGTTCTCAGGGGGTCCATGCCTTACCTGTTCATACACAAACACTGGCATGGAGAAGCCGTATAGAATGGGAAGAGGAATGGCCTGTGAGTCGGAAGACCTGGCCCACCACCAACTACTGTGTGACTGTTGGCAAGTCTTTCTGTTTCTCTAAGGTTCTGTTTTCTGGTGGCACACCTCTGACTCTGGTCTTGTTATGTACAACAAATGGGTATTAAGAATAGAAGTATCCAGGGGCGCCTGGGTAGCTTAGTCGGTTAAGCGTCCGACTTTCACTTAGGTCATGATCTCGTGGTTCGTGGGTTCAAGCCTCGCATCGGGCTCTGTGCTGACTGCCAGCTCAGAGCCTGGAGCCTATTTCAGAGTCTGTATCTCCTTCTCTCTCTGCCCCTCCCCTGCTCACGCTGTCTCTCTCTCTCTCTCCTAGAAAGAAAAAAAAAAAAAAAAGAATAGAAGTATCCATTGGGAAGGATGTGGGGCTGCAGGAGGAATGAAGTCAAAGTAATTAATGCAGAGGCATCAGTTCACTAGAAACATCAAGGCAGGCAGACTCTGTTTTTTATATGCACCACCTAAAAATCCTTTATGAGCATCAACTAGGGTGGCTCTTCCTTTGCTCTTAGTGGTTCATCAAAGCGGGTCACTGACCTCAGCCACATCTGCCGCCACACTCGCTGTCATGGGATGCCAAAACCATGGGAGAAAGCCTGCCAGCTCGCAAGCCCATGAAATGTCTGTGTTATTTAATATGCCCAGTTGTGGGGATCCTGAGGATTTTGCTATAATTTTTGTTGCAAATTCTGGGTTAATCATATTTAGGGGACCTTTATAAAAAATGACTAGAGGAGAAATCCAGTAGTAAGTTGCTACTGACCTCTCTCTCTCCCTCAGAGAGAAGGTTGGGGAGGAGCAGAGAAAGAGGGAGAGGGAGAATCCTAAGTAGGTCCCTGGCTGTCAGTGCAGAGCCTGATTCTGGGGCTCCATCTCATGAACCGCAAGATCCTGGTCTGAGCTGAAATCAAGAGCCAGACGCTTAACCAACCGAGCCACCCAGGCGTCCCTGGACCTCTATATTTTGCCACATTTATATGGTCCTAATTTTTTCAGACTAAGGTCTTCTGGCCCCATTTAGTAAGAGGTGCCAATTTGTTCTTGCATTGCTAAGGAAGGGAATCTTTCAATTGCACAAAGGAAGAAAGAGACACGTAATCAAGGTAGGGTGGCCAGCAAGATTGTAATTGCTTGAGGGTGGTCTTCTGATGATGTGTCCATGATGGATGGAATGGGCTAGGAAACAGGGAAGGAAGGATGAGGCCACACTTTGTTGGTAGCGTGCCTCTGGGCTCCCCAGCAACCCATCAAGTCTCTATTGGGATGATCTTCTGGGTTTTCACTATGCATGTTTCCTATGGACTTTATATTTCTGCATCTTGCTGGGGGCTTGATTTAGGCAGTGGGATGAGACACTCTTGTACGGGATCAACAGTCTGGAAAAGAAGAAATGTCATTGTCAACTTTTTGAGCCGACACAAGGGATGTCACTCTCCAGAGCTATGTTCGAAATACCATCTCAGCTTCATTCAGTCCTTTGTTAATAAAGAAAAAAATATTGAGGCTACCCACATCAGAACTTTGTTTTACCATCTTCCCTTTTAGCCTGTCACAAGAATCTTCTTGCAAGATTCTTGAATAGTTGACCACTGGACATTGAAGTGGTCCACGAAATTCTTGGAGAGGGTAATAAAGATCTTCTAATCATGTAAATGCCCTCTAGAGGGTTAATGACATCAAACGATATAGCTATATGGTCTGTGTGCCATTCCAGGAAAAGCCAAAGTCTCAGATAACAGCCCTGAAGGATTAGGATTAGCTAGTTACAACTGCCTTGTATGGTTCATCGAACAAACAATCTGAGCATGACTTTCATCCTCAGATTTTAGTTGTGGGGATCGGAATACAAGAACTGTGTCCAGTATGGTATTTTTGGCTGCCTGCGTTTGTGTGCCCTCAAGCCATCAATGACACAAATGCAAGTTGCCTCCAATTCTACTCAGTAGTGTTCCCTCTGCTTTTGTCTGAAAGGATTAAAGTTGGGTTACACCCATCCGGTGATGATGTTGACAGGCCTAACCCAGTTCTTGGGGGGCAGCCTGGGCTGCAGGAGCCAGACAGTGACTCAGAGAGACAGCCAGCGGGGCTCGGGGGAACAACTGATAGATACTAAAAGCAGATCTGACCTCATTCATATTTACAATCCCCTATTGTCCCCAAGGCAAAAGTCCGTGGCCTTACCCCTCTTCACCCTCACACGAACCCTTCAAGCTGCCTTTTCTTTCCAGCGACCTTCACCTGTATCGGAGTACGTTGTTAGTGGTGGGGCACTGGGGATTTGGAGGGGGCTCGGGCAGAGACAAAGGCATGATTTGCCTTTATTACACTGTCCTGGTACGGATTATATCCGGATGACTCAAGTGCCACATGCTTGTAGGGAGGAGCCTGCCCTGCCTCTCCTCTCTCAGGTTAGGAAAGACATCGGAAATGAAGCCTGACAGCTCTCCTGAGGAAGGTGTGCTTGCTATGTCCCTCCTCGGTGATTTTAGACGAGCACATTTACCTGCGGCTGAATGGGGGTACCATATGAAGTTAATGCTACATCCTCCTCAGCTCCATCACTGTCTCGGGCTGAAAGCCAAAGGAGGGAAGGGCTGGGTTAGTGTCAGAGATTCACGTGGAAACCACACATGAGGGCTATGAAGAGACTCAAGGGCTTGCAAAGAGGCTCTTGACCGTTTAGAAAGGAATTCTCAGTTGAGGCTTTTTTTTTTTTTTTTTAATCTATGATTTTAAAAAAGAGTGCTTTAAAGCTTAAGAGGAAAGTTGGCTCTGGATAGCATATGTGTGTTCAGGAGAGGAACGTTCTGTGTTTAATAATTGAAGAGGGTGCAGATTGGTCATCTCTTTCTAGAGAAAGAGCACTCTGCTGGTGGTGGATCAAGGTCTTTGCTCCCTGAGTATTGACTGAGTATTGTGTACCTCATGGTCTTCAACAGTAAGATAAAAGGCCTTACCTAGATCATCTCTGAAGTCCCTTCTGGCTCAACATTCTACGAGCTTTGGTTCAGCTTAAAAATCTAGACACAATAAAAAAGATCCCTGAAGACAATTTCATGCTTCCATAGAACAATCCCATGCATGGTTATTTGTTTAATGTCAGTTTCCTCAACAAGACTTTTGAGCTGTGTTTATCAGGCCCTTGCAGGATGCATATCTGTTGTTTGATGGCCACAGACGTAGCTGTGTGTCCAGTGTTCACACTTAGGGGCTCTCTCGCTTGCTGGCTGTGTGACCTAGGGCCAAGTTTCTTAACGTTTTAAAGTTGCCTTTGTTTCCCGATGGGAATAAAAGGAGAATAATGATGATCATAATAGCAAATCTCCCTCATAAGGTTATCTTAAAGATTAAGTCATTCAATATGTGTAAGACCCTTGGAATAGGACATGATTATAGAAGACACCATATTGCTGTACTCTGCATATTATTACCCACGGTGGTGCTGGTGGTGTGGTCATAACTGGTGCTCTGACGTTGTCTTCCCACTGGCATTGTTTTAGAGGGTTGGACCCTGTGAAATACGAAATGCTCTTCTTTCCTCCATGGCAGAATGAACTGACTTCTTGGTTTAACTTTCTCCCTTGAGGCATACTGAGACTCCTTTCACACTCAGCTCCTTGGTGACCAGCATTCATCCAACATTCTCATCAGACTAGACTAGAAATTAGAGAAGCCTCCTTCTCCAGAATTCTCCAGCACTAGTTGTCATTCATGGATTTACCGAAGGAGCTTCTAGACGTTGAGGAACTTGGTTTGGTCTCAAAGTTGTCAGGAAGCTGAGCTGAGCCTCAAAGCTAGGAGACTCAGATTCTGCATTCTTCCTGCTGCCCAATTATCTCACACTCCCTAGATCTTTAGGAATGTCAGACCTGTGCCTTATCTGTCCTCATGCCAGACAAATTCTGCCCAGATTCACTGTCTTTTTCCCTACTTTATACCACTACTTTCTCTGTAACCTATAGCTCTTGAGGGCAATAAAATAGCAGTTCTGAGAGTTGTTCCTGGGAAAGAGCAAACAAAATTACACTGCTTGGGACCACTGAAATTGGGTTTCTCCTATGAAGAGGGGGTGCCTTGAAGAAAAAAAACGTGTTGAGAATTGTCAAAAAGGGCTGTCTAGCAAAAGCGGGTATTTACCATAAGGCAAACAACCCAATGAATGGGCTTATGTTTGCAGGAACATTCTCTTGGTTCACATCGTTGCATAGTCATTGAACCACTTTTACACTGCATAGACTCATTGTTTTTATCTTAAGACCGTCAAAAAGAATCATACTAGCTTTGTCTGTATACCCTCAAACAGCGAACAGAAAAAAAGGCCCACAATAACGTAATACTTTAAAATATACATGAGTCTTGGGGCACCTGGGTGGCTCAGTTGGTTAGGCATCTGACTTTTGAGTTTGGCTCAGGTCATAATTTCAGTTTCGTTTGTGAGATGGAGTCTTGAGTCAGGCTCTGTGCTGACAGTGTGGAGCCTGCTTGGGATTTTCTCTCTCCTTCTCTCTGCCTCTCCCCTGCTTGTACTCGTGCACATGTGTGCACGCTCTCTCTCTCTCTCTCCCTTTCTCTCTAAGTAAATAAATATTTAAAAAAAAAAAAAATATATATATATATATATATATACATGAGCCTTGCTTATAGAAAACTTGATATAACAATACCCTAAGTAAACTAAAGTGGATGAAGTACGCAATAATTATAACAGGAGCTTTTCCTTCATAAAAAAAATTTTGGTGGTTGATATTCTACATTTAAGATCCTCACAAATTATGTTGCATTTAAAATTCTCAGTTAAAAGGACAGTTGGTTTTTAAAAATATAATCAATATACAGCTTTCTAGGAATGCATTTATAATAGAGGGCAAAGACTATTTATAACCATTTGTTTGGTGTCCTGTGCTAACATGCCTGAATGCCTTTTTATTCTCCACCCGGATGTTTTTAGATCTTGGAATTAAGTTCATAAGCCACTCAGAGAGAGAAAGCCTAATCTTCTTTTGAAAGGCTCCCAGGGAGAGAGTCCTTAATCCCCTTTGCTGATCTATTTCAGTGTTTACCAACTCTTATTTTCACATTTAATCTAAACCCTTCGAGCTTTGGTTTGAGTTCATTTCTACAGACCGTCTTTCGTTGGAGACAGAAAACAACAAGACAACAGCCTCGTGGACAGAGGTCTTCATACTTGTGAAATTCCCTGCTAATCTCCTCTTGTCTCACTCTTCTTTCAGATGCATTGCTCTGGTCCCACAACCCAGTGGTAAATCAAATAATTATGTGATTGGAGTCACAGCTACAGGCGGTATTAATCAAGAGAGTCTCGTGACAAATGCATGCCTCATGGACTCGCACAAAATGTCATGTTTTGGTATACGGATTTAGAGAGAGAACTTGCATGGTCTGTGAGGAAGGCACATTAAGAACAACTCTCTGTTCCATTGTCTTAACCTTTCCACATTGATCTGATGTTATATCGCTTTAATTATCTTTTTGGTTTTCACGTAGCCTCCCCAAGCCCTCCACACTTCTCATTGGTGGATCTCAGAACTGGAATGGGTATTCTTGTTGGCGACTGACTGACAAGTCTCTCTCTCTTCTCTCTCTCTCTCTCTCTCTCTCTCTTCCTCTTTCCCTCTGCCTCTCTCCCCCACTCATGCTCTCTCTTTGTCTACAATAAAAATAAACAAACAAAACACCAAACTGCTTTGACAGTGACTGTCACTGGCAGGCATTTCCTGCTCAGAAATGGATTTTCTAACCATGCTCTAGTAACAAGGATAGTACCAAGCCCTTCCTCTTCCACCAAATGCTCCTTCGAACACTGGAAACACTTAGATTTTGGAGTATGGGCTCTTGATCATGACAAGCCCCAGTATGGTTGGGTAGGATACAACTCTAAGAACTCCTCTCTCTCTTTCTCTTGATGTTTGTTTCCTGGAAATATACAACAACAATAAAACAACGCAAGAAGTTCTATCTTATCTTCTGGTGAGAACTATAAGAAGTAGTTTCAGGGATTGACTCTGCCATTCTGCCATAAACCTTAGTGATCTGATGATGCACCATCAACAAGCAAGGAAAAACTGTTATAGGAAGGATGTATAGCATCAATTTCCGACTCTCGGTCAACTGAACTGAAAAGAATTAATGACTGCATCTATCTGAACTGGATTTAATTTGAATGTGTAATTAGCCATAGACGACAGCTCAAAAAAGTGTGTGCACTTAAAGGGAAGGCTTCTATTAATTTTTTTGAACCTGGTAAACATTATGTGTGCCGTACAATGTATAAAATCACATAATTTTGCACATTAGAAATAAATTGTGAGGAATCAGATGCCTATTAAGACACAAAAATGGATATAAAACTATGGTATTGGGTAGTAAATAATGGGCCAGATGTTTCAGAAGGGAATGAATGAGTTTTGACATATTTCTAGATAACCAAAATTAGCCTCTAGCCATCAGGTTGCTAGGGTCCAAGCATATTTGTTGTCGTGGTTAATATATTTTATTCATTAACCAAGTATAGACAGGGGGCTTGGCCTTACATAAAGATAAAAACAAAATATGACCAGACATTTTTAATGAAAATGTCACATAAGCAAGTTGCTTTATTTTTATTAACAATTACACATTGGAGCCTTTATTAGAATTCTGATTCAGTGGCTCTTCTGGTAGCTTTTTGTAAACTTTGAAGGCTTTCAAGCAGGGAATGGTTTGAAAGGCAGAGATTTAGAAGTTGTTGGGCTTTATGATGTTAATGAGGTGATGAGTCCTATGAATCAGTTTATGATGATGTTTGGGCCAATTAGCTTCAAGACTTAAATTTAAAAAAAAAATGTCAATCACTGTTGCCAGGATTGACTTTTGCACTTGCGGCCCAAACATCTGGACTTAGCATCATATGTCATGCAACTGCATGGTCCAAGCCTAATTTGGGGCTAGTTAACTCACTTTATAGTGGGTGCCTTTCTTTGCCCAGCGTGAGCAGTCAGAGCCACACCCTCTTTCCTTAGGGCCTTTGATTCATTTCTGTCTTGGCCTCTCCCTCATAAATCTCTGTATTTTGGAAGAACTGATTCTTCATAAGAGCTTCACCTTGATTCTAGGTATCTTTACCTCCATTTTGGAAGTAGTAAGTCACCCATCTGAACTGTGGCCATTCTCTTATTGTTCCCTCTTGGTTCCTCCTATGTCTCGATGTCTCTCCTGTTTCTCCCCCGGGACACCTCCCTGCTCCCTGAATCCCCTGGGAAAGTACCTCGTGAGGGTTCCTGGTTCTCCACTCTGAAGCTGCATTGGTAGGCTGGGGCTGGGCAGGCATTGGCTGGTAAAGGGCAATTCTGCCTGCTCGATCTGTAGAGAATGCAGAGCTCGGGTATGATGTACAGCAGCAGGAAAACCCACGCGTTGGTGACCAGGGCAATGCAGATGACGGGGTCATCCCACTGGGGCTGCCGCTGGAGCTGTGGGTTGCCTCTCAGGAGCATGGAGATCCACACCACCCAGATAATGATGGAGATGAGCACAGTGACGAAGATGAGCCTTCCATGTTGCTTCCAGTTCTCACAGGGGCCGCAGAAAGTGGCTTTGGAGACGAAGAATGTGAGGGCCATCAGGAAGAGGACATAGACCAGGAGCACAACAAAGTCCACGTTGAGCTGACAGGGTGTCATATGCACAAACATCATACCCCTGGTCATCATGAGAGTCACGTACTCAATGGCAATGATCACCTGCAACAAGCTGACACCAACAGCAATGCACAGAATTGTCGTCCAAGAGAAGGAGACTCTGCCCCGGACCAGCTTCACCAGGTTGGAGGCATGAGCCAAGAGGCACGAGAAACAGAGAGCGAAGAGAACCCCAAAGAGAAAGTAGCGTACGGGGGCAGTTTGCTGATTGAAATGAGTGATGAAGGCAAAAGTGAGGCTAAAGAGGCCCAGCACACCCAGGAGGAAGAGGACCTGAGTGGGGAGGACATTCCACTGGCTGCAGTCTTGAACCCTTCGCATGAGGAAAAGAAATGCCAAGAGTAGTATAATTGTAACTACTATGCCAATTATTGCCAGGGACTCTAGAACAATGCTCCATGCCCCCTCGTTGTCACAGACGAAATAATAGTCCTCAGTGGACTTGACGCAGTCCTCATACATGGTGACTTGTAGGTGGACCTCACGAGAATGGACTCCTGTTTCCCTGCAGAAGAAAGATGAGACAAATTTCTGACTATATCCACCCATAAAGAACGCCTGTCGGGTAGTTCTATTTGGGCACTAGAATGTCTCTCCTTCCCAACAGAAGACACCTGGAAGGACCAGATGGAACATCCCCAAACTCAAACCCCGAAATCTCGCCTAGCTCCATCCTGCTGGGAAGAGCAGAACAGTCTCTACTTCCAGAGACTTCATCCCTTTTCATGTCTGTTTACACCGAGGCTTTCTGAAACCTGAGGCAGAATATTTTTCATAAAATGGGGCGTGTGGCAACGTTTGCATGGTTAATGAGATTCCAGTTATTTGGGCTCCAGAACAAGCACTGTCAACATTAATGGATCATCGGATCGTTCAAGACATTGATGCACCGCCTGAGGGAGACGGACAGATAATTTTTCCTAGTAATTCTCATGGCCGTTCCTTCTTTCAACTCGAGTCAATCCAACACAACATGTTATTGCTAAATACCTACTAGTCGTTCATCAAAGAATTATGCAGAGTGGTCCCTGCTTCATCTAACCTTTTGGACCCTTGAGCACCAAAATCTAGGTCTTTGCTAAGGCTGTCTAGGAAAAAAATTCCACACATTCTTCAGGAAAAAAGAACTTTGCAACTGGATACTTCTAGTTCTATTCCCCTCCAGTTATTCCCGAGCCAGATGGCTGGAGCAATCCGGGTTTATAGCTGAGGGCATGGCCCTTTCTTTCCCACTTACCTTCTCTGTGTCCACGCTGGAAGCTGAGGTGGTGGTGGCTGCGAGGTTGTAACTGCCAATGAGTAAGAAGGAGACAATCGCAGCTTCTTTAATCTCTCCCCAAATGGGCGGAAGGACCAGAGGCCCTCACTCAGGTCCCTGCAGTGCCTATAAAAAGAACCGGAAGGTCAGAAAGACACACCTATTCCAGTTTCACGGCAACCTATCTACAGAGGTTTCTTTGGTGAGAACAATTATTTTCAATTCTATTGCTAACTTGAGGCACCTTGGCCCTAGGGGGTCCTGAAGGTGACCTGAGGCAAGACTGCTTCCTCTCCATATACTCCACTGTGTTTAGGAAGCCACAAGAAGCCCTCAGTTGGTTTATGTGAGTGCGCTTCATTCTCCTTCTGACCTCCTCCCTAAAGAGCCATGTGGAGTCTTCCCCACATCTTGATTTTGGTAGTGAGATCCAAAAGAACATCCGTTTAATGAAGGGATAAGAGTTGTACTGGGCCATAAAGAAGGGTTATGTGCATTAAAAGGGTCAGCAGTTGGCAAAATTGTGAATTAGGGGAAATTTGTCTTCTCTGCTATTTCTCCCTCTCCATTGGAAGTCTTTCCTCAGGCTGTGGCTGTCCATCAGGTGTGGCCCCTACCTGGACCAGCTCTTCCTGGTAATGCTGAAGCCTTCGGTGTAATTTCCCTCTGTCCTCCCTCTCCTCAGGCCCATCAGGATACACTTGGTCTGGGTTTTGTTCCATCGGGGCATCCCAGAGCGCAAGATGGAACCCACAGTTGAGTTTACCAGCCAGTATTGGTATCATAAATCCCTTTTCTCCTGTGACAGTGTATAATGGAACGCTGTCCAGCCTCTACTGACCGCACCTCCACACCCCTCAATTTACTCCTTGGTTCTTTTATTGGATATTTGCATTTTGATAGAGGACTTCCAAAGACCCCAAGTCAGTCCTTGGGAGTCTGGTTTCAAGTAGCTCTGTGACCTGGCCCTATCTTCCTCGTCCAACCATATTTCTTTCTGGTCTCCTGCCCTATGGTTTACCAGACTGGTTTTCCCACCATGTCATAAAGAAACAAGCTCCAGTCTGATTGCCTTCTCTTAGGTGTTGCCCATGGCCTGAACTGCCTTTTACTATAGGTCCACTGATTCTGTTTCCAAGCCAAACACTTGCCCTACCTCTCAGATTTATCTCTTATCTTCTCTGTGAGCTTCTCTGACCCCCTTCATCCCTGGAGCCCTCACCGATCACTTCCTACCATGAACTCCATGGCATTTTGGGTCTGTGCTCTTCCTAATTAGGGAAACCATATTTTCTGCCCATTTTATTTGTGTCAATTAATTTTCAATAAATAATCAATGAACTAAAAATAGTAATACATAATAAATGTACTGATTTATTTTCTTTGTATTGGCCTCACCCCCTTGATTATATTCATAGCTGCTTGGGGGGTCAGGTTCTGCCTTTAATGCCCCCAGAGCACCTGGCAACCCCGGGCGATGGGTGGATTATTCAGCTGGAAGAGTCTAATGATAGAATTTGGGGCCTTGTGAAGGTAGGTTGTGGCAGTGTGGTTTTCCAACAGACGCTTTTTAATGGAAACCACCTGCAAACAAGTCCAGACCTTAACAAACTCCAGATAAATCCATTCTGAAGTGGTGCTCTATCTTCAGGGACTCTCCAACTTTAAAGAGTCATTTTCTCCCCCCTTTGAGAGTAGAATATTCCAGGGGGGAGAGTCCTCTCCTTTACTTGCTTCAGGCCTCATTGTGGTTTATCGGAAGCTGTAAAAGCTAATCTAAAGTTTACTTGAAGGGTAAAGAGATTTTCCAGATGATGAAACATGACATCCAGGAGAATTCACTCAGAGGGCCTTGTGAGTGGTTAAACTGCTGTCTGCAGAAGAGCAGAGGATTTCTCGTGAAATTCTTCCAAGAGAACTGTCTGGCTGACCCTTCCCCCTTCCCCCCCTTCCAGCGAGTTACTCATGGCCACTCCTCACTGCGCTGGTGTCTCCATTTCTGGCATGCCTGCCTTCTAAGGACATTCATCCTGAGCTCCTGATGGCTTGAGGCAGGTGAATTAATGGGTTAATGACCACAGAGCCCTTTGAGCACCTTCGATAAAAGAGCTTGTCTCAGGTACTAATTACTGCTATTCTAAAGTCTTGGGGTCATGGAATTAACCCATCTGCTGCTAGGCTTTAAGGAAATGAGGCCCTCCTTTGCCTACACACATCCACATTACTCACATCTCCTTTCTTTTGGCTTTTTACGCAGCAGCAACATCGCACCAAACAGCTCAACTATGGCTTTGATGAATCAAAGTATATTGATTATAACAAGTCCAATAAAAATGAAGACAACACAGTCAAGAGGCCAAACGCCTTTTGCCAAACCCCGATTTGTGTTGTCTCCTTCTTCTGGAAACAGAGCTGGAGGAAATGTTAGAGGTCACCTAGTCTAACCCTCTCGTTAATAATTAATAAGAAGGAAGCCAATAGTATAACATGAGGAATTTCATAATAAGGAGGCAGAGGCCCAGAGAGATGAAGGGAGGTACCGAAGGCATGGAATGTTAGAGGGGATGGCCAAGGCCGTCTGATTGCTGGCACATTCCTGCTGCCGTACTAGGCTGCCTCCCTGACACTTCCACCTTGGGAGGACAAGCCTTGAAAGAGAGGAGCACTCAGCCATGACACACGGGTCATGACCGAAAAGAAAGATAAAAAACAGATTACGAGAGCACATCAGATATTCTGCATCCCGAGGCAAAGCCCGCAGCTGGGTGAGGACTGGCCGTGTGGTGCGGGGTCCCGGCCAGGAATGGGTTATCTGCCCATTTGGCTCACCAGCATCACCAGGACCAGCTTCATGGTGGTGCGACCAGTGCAGCTGTTCAGGGAATCCCACTCTGAAGGATCCCACGCTTCAGATTTAACGCTTTGTGGGCACTGTCCTGAAATCCTTAGTTTCATCTTTGAATTTGTGTTTTGAACGTGAAGTCAGAGGAGACAGTGGAGCAGGCACTGGGGGCTTGGAGCCTGGGCTCAGGCGTGATCCTACTTCGCTGCTTCCCTGAGATGGGCTCTCTGTCGCCCACTCCCCACCACCACTTGGTGCCCTGATCACTTGGCTTCCCCATTTCTGCCCCTGCCCCATGACTGCTGCCACACGCACGCCACCGGGGGTCACCTCCCCTCATGGATTGAGGTGGGTAGGCTCTTAGAAAGGGGCAACTGAACTACCCATGGCCAGGTAGGGTGCCACCTTTTCATTTTACACTGGGCCTTGCAAATTATGTAGCTGGCTTTGGGCATCTCATTAAACTTTCTGATAAATGGTTAATTTGATCCGCATTATATCGGGATGTTAACATTGTTCAGTTTAATTGTATATTAATAGGATGTGCAGTCAGTTGTGAGGCACTGTGATGTTTTATCTGGGTCAGCAAATTGTCAAGACTTAACCGAGTCTCATTTATGAACGAGCAGGGTATTTTTTGGAAAGGAAATTACCTGACATTTTCCCCCCAGTTTGTAACTACTACAGCATTTTAATTGAACTACAATACATTGCTTTCATTCATATTGGGTTGTTTTATCATCATTAGAAGAAAACAGATGATGTGAAAAATATAGAGGTATGTCAAGTTTGACGGCTGGATCCAGAAGGGTAAACACAAGGATATCGAGAAAAATATTGACTCGTAAAAACTTTGATTCTATTTGAGCTGCATTATAAAAAAGGAAAAAGTAGATGCAGGACCTTAAATATGAAGATTTTTTTAAACGTGATTTAATTAAATATGCAAAGCTTAGCAGAAACAGCAGACTTGACACGAAATTTATAATGAAATTTATGGTCTCCTGACTTACCATGGTTCAACTTCCATTTTTTTTTTACTATGGTGGTGCCAAAGGGACACGCATTCAGTAGAAACTGAGCTTCAAATTTGAATTTGATCTTTTCCCAGGCTAACGACGTGCTCAACGGTCCTCTCTCCTGATGTTTGCCAGCAGAGTAGCTAACAGCCCCAGTCAGCCACAAGATCAGGACAAAAAACTCCATTCACTTATAACCACTCTGTACCCGTACGCACATTCTGTTTTTCACTTTCAGTACAGCATTCAATAAGTTACATGAGGCACTCAGCACTCTATTACAAAATAGGCTTTGTGTTAGACGATTTTGCCCAACTTTACACTAATGGAAGTGTTCTGAGCAGATTAACATTTATTTATTTATTTTACCTTTTAATCTTAATTTATTTATTTTTAATTTTAAAAAATTCATATGAAGATTACTTAAATGCGATTTAATTAAATATGCAAAGCTCAGCAAAAATGGCAGACTTGACACGTAATTTATAATGAGATTTATGGTCTACTGACTTACCATGGTTCAATTTCAATTTTTTTTTTTACTATAGTGGTGCCAAAAAGACATGCATTCAGTAGAAACTGAGATTCAAATTTGAATTTTATCTTTTAAATTTGATCTTAAAAAATTAAAAAAAATTTTTTAATGCCCATCTATTTTTGAGAGCGAGACACAGAATGTGAGCAGGAGGGGCAGAGAGAGAGAGGGAGACACAGAATCTGAAGCAGGCTCCAGGCTCTGAATTGTTGGCACAGATCCCAACACGGGGCTCAAACCCATGGACTGTGAGATCATGATATATGCTGAAGTCAGACGCTTAACTAACTGAGCCACCCAGGTGCCCCTGAGCACATTTAAGGCAGAGTAGGCTAAGTTATAGTACTCGGTAGGTTAGGTGTATTGAACGCATTTTCAACTTACTCTATGTTCAACTTAAGATGGATTTATCAGGATGTAACCCCATTGTAAATCCAGCAAGATCTGTAAACCATAATATCTCATCATATCTGTCTTTTTTTTTTTTTTAAATGTTTTATTTATTTCTAGGAGAGAGAGAGACAGCGTGAGCAGGGGAGGATCACAGAGAGAGGGCGTCACAGAATCCGAAACAGGCTCCAGGCTCTGAGCCGGCAGTCAGCACAGAGCCCGACGCGGGGCTCGAACCCACGAACCGCGAGATCATGACCTAAGCGAAAGTCGGACGCGTAACCGACTAAGCCACCCAGGCGCCCCTCATCATATGTGTCTTATTGCAAAGCATAGAGAAGCTATGTTTTAACATAATTATAGTCTGCTATAAATTTTGTGATTTAACTTGATAACATCGCTGATCTAAGTTGCCAACACTTTTAGTTATATCAGATATTAGTGACAAGACAATTTTTATGGAGGACTTTTTAAGTTGTTTGCACTTAATTTGAATTACAACTAGATTAGATATAACCTCTGGGTTGGAACAATATGTTGTTGATTCAATGTTACTTAATCTGGAAACGTTGGAAAGAAATTATGAGTTTGGGCAACAAATATGAGCAGAAATGATGTCAGAGTTATTAAAAGCTGATCAACAATCATGATTCATTCATCATGAATCTTTGGCACCTAAAGAAATTTTTCTTGAACCTCATGGATTTATTGGAATCAAATGAGATGCCAGTGAGCAAAGCCTATAGAAATATTGTGTTGAGATATTGGAGCTGACCACATCTACTTACTATGCACGGTAGGATTATTCCTGGTTGCCATAAGATAAAATATTAAGTAAAACATGATACAAACTCAGAAATGAAATTTATATTTCTTGAACTGGGAGAATATCTCATTTGGCAAATATTTTTGGACACGATACTTGGATAGTAAAAGTGCGTATTTAGCTGATTCTGGGACATTCTTAATTACAATTTTGGAAGAAAATTATACTTTAACCTGTCAAACACATTCAAGGATTCCAAAAAACGTGGAAGTTAAAAAAAATTTTTTTTTACTGTTTTTTATTTTTGAGAGAGAGACACAGAGTGTGAGGAGGAGAAGGGCAGAGAGAGGGAGACAGAATGTGAAGCAGGCTCCAGGCTCTGAGCTGTCAGCACAGAGCTGGACGGCGAGGCTCAAACTCACCGAGGGTGAGATCATGACCTGAGCTGAAGTCGGACGCTTAACCGACTGAGCCACCCAGGCGCCCCAAGACATGGAAGTTTTTTGAAAGGTGGCTGTCATTATTGGACATTCTTGTGGCCAAGAAATGGGGTCAAATTCCCCTCCACTTGAATCTTGGTTGACTCTCTTGTGACCAATAAAATATGGTGGAAGTGATGATGCGTGAATTCTGAGACTCGGTCAAAATGACACTTGTAGCTTCTGCTTTGGTCTCTTGGATTACTTGACCTCTGGATGATTTCTCCTGAGACACAGCTGCACAGCTATGATGCTCCGAGAATCCCAGGCCACTAAGAGACCACAGGTAGGTTCGC